TGGAGATCTTCTGCACTGCACTCAGCATGTGGAACAAGATGCTGATTTTCAACACCAACGTCAAGTCAGTGCTTCTGTATGGCTCAGAGACTTGGCGCGTCACGAAAGGGATTTCCAATAAACTACAGACATTCATCAACAACTGCTTACGCTGGCTCGCTACTGAAGATCAGATGGCCAGAAAATGAGAATATGCAACAAGGAGCTCTGGGAACGAACCAACCAAGAAGCTGTCGCTCAACAAATATGCAGGAGGAAGTGGAGATGGATTGAGCATGCACTGAGAAGGCCGACTGGGGACATCACGCATCAGGCCAGTTGCTCGAGTGGAATCCCCATGGGAAGCGACGAGTTGTACGTCCCAGTTGAGGGTGACATGGAGGAGATCGTGCGAGGAGGAAATGAGAGGTTGTGGGCTGTTGTGGATCCAGGTTCGAAAGATTTCAGAGAAGAGAGTGGAATGGAGACTTGCTACTGAAGCCCTATGTTCCACTAGGAACCCAAGGGACTAATAATCAAAAATAATAATAATCAATAAATAGTAATGTTAAAGTAAGAATATTATTCTCTTAATTTTTAATTACTTTATTTGCTGCTAATAACCATCGCATTATTAAACTGTATGTCATTGTACAAATTTCATCCTTCCTGCTTTTTTCAGTATCATTTTCACTCAAGGTTCTGTCTTATTCCATATTGGTTTATGTTTTATCTACTTAGTTGTTTATTTTAGTTATTTTTCTGGTATATAAGATTCCTTTACTTTGATTTATAACATCTTTTATACAGTATTATTTATTTGATGACGACGTTTCGAGTAGAAACTATACCTTATATTATCATATAAATGTCATCATATCAACTTCAGTAATCGATTTTCATAGATGTATCACTTGATATACTTTATTGACAGTGAATTTTTCCATATCTAAGTTGGTAGTGTTACATCATTCTTATTACATGTATTGAGTGTTGATTCAATGAACAAGGATTCTGTAATTAGTATAATTGTTTTTATATGATATCGTCGTTGATTGAACCGAATTGATCGGTGTCTCTATTGGCATATGGACTCCTGTGCGGATGCCTCGATATTGCCATTGTTCTAATTCTGATAATGATGGATCATGGCTAGCAGTGGAATCCAGAATGCACATTTCGTCCTATTTGGGACTCATCAGCTGGATGTACCTGCTTCCCAGTGAGTGATGTTGTTCCCACCGGAACTCGGACTCGGGAGTGATCGTTTCAAACGCCAGCGCGTGGTGAAGTGGATAACGCTCTGCTGTTTGAAACGATCACTCCCGAGTCCGAATTCCGGTGGGAACAACATCACTCCGCAGTGGGAAGCAGGTACATTCAGCTGACTGGTGAGTCCCAAATAGGACGAAATGTGCATCCTGGATTAGACTGCTAGCCACGACCCATCATTGAAGATTCTGTAAACAATTTCTCTCTTCATCAAATCCCAATAAATTGAAACACTGTGGTTCTTATCCCACCCTTATTGTCTCTGCTTGTGTGTTAACGGATGCATTTCAATATTTGAGTTCTTTTCTAGATTATTCATCCTATTGGAATTTGTCAGTCTGATCATCTAATTGACCCTGACTGGCTAGTTTGACCTATGCACTGAACATTCTAGTCATTGTATGTAATTTGGTAGATTAGATTACTTTCCTCAATTGGATCTGTCATGGATTGTTAGGCCTACAAAGCTTTTTTCTGAGTAAGTTTGTAGGCTTGAAAATCCAACTCTAATTCCAACCTTGTTGAGGATCCTATGTAAACTTCCTCATGCACCTTCCTTCCTTATAGCGTAACACAATGAAGGCCTTGAACTTATTTCTACTCCTGTTATCGTTATTACTCGTACTCATGTTACTGTCAGTTTTTGTTTCTTCTATGTCCGTACGAATCTCTTAATAAACTGTGAAGGTTAATTATTAACTATCAGTGCTTCTTTTAGGCATTTCAATTCCTTGTTTAGATCCTTGCAATGACTAGTCAGTTCTCTAGCTCAATCATTCAGATACCTGACTAAACCTGCTTTCACTGACTGAAATTGGACGAGATGACTTGAAGTCTAGATACCTGTTGGAATTTGTCAGTCTCGTGTAGACGATAGTATCCAAACCACCATCCGTCCTTCGTTTTATCCTGCAATCCAACATAGGCAATTCTCCTTGTTCATCTTCTACCTTCTCGTAATTGAACTGGATTACGCCTGCTACTGAGTTTCTATGTGTCAGGAAATTGTCAATATGTTCCGATTTCAACACAGTAGTGAATGCGTCATCCACATATCGACACCATATCTTAGTGCAGGACTAAACCTTCGTAAAGCCATGTTTTCCCAATTATCCATAAATATATCTACTACGATTGAGGATATCGGGTTGGGATCGCCTATATGTAGACCGTTAAGCCTCAGTTTGAACTCGTAAGAGTTTACTAGTCTGGAATTTGAACACATTCCTGATAGAACACAATATCAATGCTGAGTACTTCGCTACTTCATATGTTGGGGGTATTTCTGAAGTTATCTATGAGTGTGATGGAGTAACCTGGTTTTTGAACCTTAGTAGTGTCATGAATTCTGCTAGGATTATTAGTTATAGGCATCAGATTAGACTCATCTAGAGACGACTTTATTCGGTCTCCATTGTGCTGCTACCCTACATGGAAGGAACATCACAAACTTTACATAGGATCCTCAAGAAAGCTGGAATTAGTCATGGTGGCATTTAAACCTACAAACTCACTCACAGATAAGCTTTGTCAGCTGCTTTAAGGAGATGCGATAAATCGAATTCAGCAAAATAATTTAATCTATGAAATTCCATGTAATGACTGTGAGTTAGGTCAAGTATATAGGTGAGACTAGCCAGCCGAGTTCAGTTAGAATAGTGGAACATAGGAATTCAGCTAAATATAGAATGTCAGACACTGTTAAGATCAATAATCTGGAAAAGCACTTGCGTATTGCAGTGGATGCATCAACATACAACCATTCAATGGGGTGAGATAAATCCACTGTGCTTAACTCCAATATAATCAGATGGAGAGAGAGAGGGGGGTGGATTGATTACTGAATCTCTGTTCATTGGACCAACACCCAACACATGTAGTAGAAATGATACAACATCTAAACTAGAGATATGGAAATGTTTACTACCGATAGAAACAAAGAATAAGAGGTGACTGGACTACAAAAATCTCAGTTGATATTATATAACTTCAAGTTGTTATTCATCGTAGACTGACATCAGTTGGAAGAACAAAGAAAACTTGGGAGCACTGGACAGCTGTCTCGTCCGATTAGTATGGGACTCCTCAGCAGTGCGCACCCACGACTCCGCACCACCAGAGATCGGACCCGTGACCTCCAGGTTCCATGGCCAGCACGTTACCATTGAGCTAGCCAAGTGGGTCAGAATTCAATGGTCCATATTTCCAACTTCTGTTAGCTCACGATATAGCGCAACCAACATCATATTAGTCTGATATCAGTCCCTCAGACTTCTCAACTTTCTCAAAATTCGATATTATGTAGGCCTACATTATATTCCTACGTCATTCTTGCATAACCAAATAAATCACGCTCTTTCGAATTTTCGCAACGAACTTGATTAATCCCTGTGTACTGGTGTATAAACTGATTTCACGACTATCTTTGTATTGATCGATGTCCCCCATCTGTACAATGTTGTGGGTAACGCATACACGCATAAAACGATAGTATCTTAGCAAATCGAGTTTCATCTAATGAGTCTCAAGTAAGACAAATACGGTTAATAGATTTTAAATCTTAATTCCAGCTACATTCCGTCAATTTCCCTTTATATTATTTATTGGTACTTGCTATATAGGGTCGATTTACTCACTCTTTGTGTTGGCAAGTGCGCTTCCATGTGGATATGGCTAACGGTGGAATCCAGGATGCATATTTCGTCCTATTCGGGACTTATTCGTCAGCTGAGAATGTACCTACACCTCACTGAGTTGTGTTGTCCCCTCTGAGACTTGAAATGTATTTCTACCGTAATTCCTTTTTTTGTTCATCTTATTAGTAATATATTTTATCGGAAAATGTTTCTGTTGTTCGATGGGTAAATGATAATATCTTCTATAGAACACCGTTCACAAGAGCTGATGTAATCATGAAGATTATGTCACCAATCAAACCTTACTGTTCACTCGGCATAATATCTGACGGATTACCCTAAAGGCTTCAATTTTTCCCGACATGTAGTCTTCTTGACCTTGTAGTATTCCTTTTTGCTAATATTTCAAGTTTTTATTCATCGTCGACTGACATCAGTTGGAGCGCAACCACCACCCAACGTCATCGTTGAGTAACTGTCCCCACGACTATCAGGCTTTGCCCCCACCAGTCACGACTTCTCATTGGAACTTCGAGAATACTTCTGGAAGCTAGTCACCAATGAGCACCAGTTCCATTGAATTTTTGAGGGAGTTGTGGAGATTTGTAAATATTTCAAGTTGTTATTCATCATAGACTGACATCAGTTGGAGGAACAAAGGAAACCTGAAAGTACTGGACAGCTGTTTTGTCCGACTAGTATGGGATTCTTCAGCAGTGAGCACTCACGACCCCGCACCACCAGGGATCGGGCCCGTGACCTTCAGGTTCCGCGGCCAGCACTTTGTCATTGAGCTAGCCACTGGGTCGGTGGAATCCAATCGTCCATATTTTCAACTTCTGCTAACAATTTTTTTCTAAATTCCAGAAAAAGTGATGTGAAATAAGTTTGATATTTATGTTCACCAATGATTGCTAATTTGCTAAGAATTTATTTAGTCTATTTTGACAAATACCTGTCTACTTTATACTACATAAAAGGGTATAGTTTAGTCTGAGTCTCATCCCTTCACATCATCTTTGACTTGATTATTCTTGTTGTTATGATTAACTTTGTTATATTCCTTTGCATTATTTTGCTTTTCTTGTATCTCCCCCCCCCTTTTCACTATAGGTAAACAGTACTGAAATGGATTATCATGTTTCCAGATTGATATCTTTGGCTATTGCAGAAATACTCGGTGTTAAATCATTCCCATGTCCACCATTGTACAGGTTAGTTTATACACCACTATACAGTTATGGTTTATGCAAAAAAAGTTTATCTTTCAGTTTACAAAACACTTCAGATCTGGCTACTTTTCTCTATGGTCTTTATGGTGTATTCTATAAACTACATACCGGCCACCGTTACTTGCTATATTTCTTAAGCTGAAGGCGGGATTTGAATATATCGATCGTGAGGTGTTTTATGAAAAGATTTTCAAACAAGTATACGGCGCTTATGAAAGCTCCCTACTGGAACTCACATATTCATGTTAAGGTTTATGGAGAGATATAATGTGAATTGACGACAACTAGGAGTATCCGTCAGGAATACCCACTATCATATTCTTTACTTAAGTTCGTTATACACGTACTAATGGACATGACCTTAGTTACGTCTGACTTCTAACAGGTTCATTTACTCCCTAAAGGTGGTCTGGTTTACTTGGAGTATGCAAACAATATTGTCCTATTGTGTGAAGACGCTGATGTAATGCAGGATGTTCTGGACGTATTAACTAGAAATCGGTGTACGTTTGACATACTTTCTGCTGGTACCTGTCAATGTAAGATGATGCTTCAGAACTGGTCTTTTACAAGTACTCCAAGTTTAGTCTTGGGGAATGAAGTAGTGGAATATGTTGACCACTTCAATTACCTGGGGAATTGCACCAGCCTGAACTAGCTGGTTGCTGACTAAATCTCAGCTTGAATACAGAAGACCTAATTCAATAAACTGAGTCATCTGTTTCATCCACTGGCGAGATATCTGACTGATTACCTATCAAAGGATGAGTATACTGTGCTTGTGAGATATAGCTATTAAAAGTAGAATATATGAAGCGGTTACAGAGTTTCGATCATAGGTGTCCTCACAACATATCTTGCACGTAAGGGAATCACTGTGTGAACAATGCTGATGTCAGGCGAAAGGTACTAGGTCAGATAAGCAAGTAGAATGATGATTGAATCTGTTCACTTATTTGTTTATTAATTGAGAGAACGTTCAGAAACGTAGTGTTAGTCATTGGTACTTATAATTTCCAGTTGCTATACCGGGTCGCATAACTTGACCTCTCTTGATAGATGGATTTCTGTGCGAATGCCTCTGTACTACCAGATGTTCATGATGTTATATTCATCTTGGTGACCAGTAGTAGTAGAATGTAGGACGCGCATCTCATCTCCGTTGCACCACAAGTGGCTATAGTGACCTCAGTGGCTTATTGGATAACGCTTAGGCGTTCAAAGCGATGCAAACGACAGCATCCGCTGGGGTACAGATACATCCAGTTGACCAGTCTCACATAGGATGAGACGCGCGTCCTGGATTTCACTTGGCTGGGATCCTAGACGCTATAGCAATCGGTGATTTTCAAATCCTTTCTCCTCTTTTACATCTCTGTCCGCTCTAATATCCGTCTTTTTCTATACATTTGTTCCTTGATACAAGTCGAACTGACGGACTTTTGTGCGAAGCTACACGTTGATTCTGTGTCTGTCTATCTGTCTGTCTTATTGATAGCGTACCTCAGTATAACCCTTCCCCCCCAGAAAGAATCTTAATGTTCAATGCGTTGCATCCAACTTAACAGTATAATGTATTTTTGAGATGAATGAGGATTTTTAATAGAGAAGTAGTATTCATCATGGACTGACATCAGTTGGGGAACCATTGGAAATGTGGGAGCACTGGACAACTGTTTCGCCCCAGTATGAGACTCCTCTGAGCAGTACGCACCCACGACCTGGCTAGGGGTCGACCTCAGGACCCTCGAGTTTCACGGCGAACGCGTTAACCATTCAGCCAACTGGGTCGGTTTCCAGTGGTTGACAATTTCCAACTTCTGTCAATTCATGACATAGCGCAACTATCACCCAAGGTCTTCTCAGTTAGCATCCACTTCACTTCCGACTGGTTTGGTTGACTCCACAAGTCACGGCTTCTCATTACACCTTCGTGATATGCATCTGGAAGCAAGTCACTGATGAGGACTATACAGTAATGTATTTTTCAGATGAATGGGGATTTTTAATTTAGAAGTAGTATTCATCATGGCGTGATTTCAGTTGGGGAAGGATTGAAAATGTGGGAGCACTGGACAGCTGTTTCGCCCTAGTATTGGACCTCCTGAGCAGTACGCACCCCATACATTACAATTATTACATTACAATATACCTAACATATATTCCAAAAGTATATCAACTATCAGTTTAAATCTCTGAAACAGTAGTGGTTTGGTAGACTTGTGTTGATGGTGGAAGATAACGCGAAAGCAACGGATCATGAATTCACATGACAATCGGGAAAAAACACTTGGTGATTGAAGTGAAATCTCGTAGCTCAGTTGTTAGAGCACTGGAGTGGTAACCTGGAGGCCGCTAGTTCGAATCCTGCCTTTGATCATCACTCAGTATCAATATATTAGTCAGTGGGAGTTAGCACCCGTCATTAACTGACTTACAGCTTTCATCTGACATTTAAGGAGATCGTACAAATTAATGTTGATTATAGTGATGACTGCATCATACATACGTACAATTTAACGATGATATTCATAATAGATTATCTTCAACAATTGAACAACTTTCACATTTGTGTGTTTACTAAATAAATGGACTTTAAGTTCACCACTTACGAATTTCACTGGAATGATATACGCTGAATTGCTGTCCAGAAATTCCAATGAAAAATTGTGACAAGTGAGGCTAACCAAGTTGGTCGTGAGAATAGATACTTCACAAGGACATTGGATGAAGGTGGTGGTATATCACGAATCGACAAAAGTAGGAAAATGTAGATAATTGAATTCTGACCCAGTGGTAATATTCTGAGCGTGCAACCTGAACGTATTGGCTTCGATCTTCATTGGCGTCTTGGGTATGCACTCATTGGGAAACCCATACTGAACGAAACAGTTGTACAATACTCCTAAATTCCCAATAGCTTACAAACCGATACCAGTTTGTGATGAATACTATCTTAAAAATTAAATCTCCATCAGCCTCAAAAATGTATTTTTATATGGTGCTGATTAGTGACACGCTTCAAGATGGATTACCCGAAGACCTAATGGGGTCAACAAGTCGGGTGTGTAGCGGATGTCCAATTGAAGAACTCGGTGGATAATAACACTATATCGCGAACTGACAGAAGTAGGAGACTATAGACCAGTTAATTTCGACCACCTAACTAACTGTTCAACGTGTCCTGAGTTTGACCTGTGGAGGGCAGGGTGTTGGGTGCGTATTCCTGACGGGTCGCGTACTGGGACGAAACAGCTATCCAGTGCTCTCAAGGTTTTTCTGGTTCTGCTACTGATATCACTTTGTGATGAATAAAACTTTCAAAATAAAACCCCCATTTGCCTTAAAATTATTTTTATTATTTGTCCTTTAAGTTCCTAGTGGAACATAGGGCTTCAGTAGCACGTCGCCATCTCACTCTGTTCTCTGCAGTCTTTCCAACTTGGCTTCATGACTTCCCAGAAGCTTTCATTTCTTACTCACACCATCTACTCCATATCACCCTCACCTCAGACGCCCAACTCGTCGTTTCCCATTTGGCTTCCATTCGAGAGCTTGGAGGGTGATGTCCGCAAATGATTTCACTGTATGTCCAATCCAATCTATCTCTACTCTCTTCTTCTGCTTCTTCTGCAAATTTGTTTGGCGATAGGTTCTTGGTTCGTCACCAGGCCAGCGTTCCTCCTTGCTTATTCTTTCTGGCTTTCTGATCTGATCTTCAGTAGACGGCAGCTATTGATGAATGCCTGTAGTTTGTTGGAAATGCTTTTGGTAACGCGCCGTCTCTCATGCATCACATAGAAGGATTGACTGACTTGACTGATTTAGTGTTGAGAATCTGTATGTTGTTCCACATGCTAAGTGCAGTAGATCTCCACACTGATTTCAGATTGATGAGGGGTGGCCTGTTTTACTGTCTTTCCGATGCTGGGTGATTTTGACGTGGTCATGTGTGCATGTGCCTGTGCCGCTGCGTGTAGTTCAAATGATGCTGCCTCCTGGGTAGTTAGATGGAAGAGACAATTTCGTTTAGATTTCTTCCGTTTATGGTGATCGGTGCTTGTTGTTGTTTTTGTTGTAGGTTGGGTATCTTCATCACCTCTATCTTCTCTACGTTCACCTGAAGGAAGTCTCGTCTTCTCTGCCCTGCCTCTTCTGTCAACTTGTTAGTTTTCACCTTCAGATCTTCGAGTTTGTGCGACATAAGACATTAGACATAAGTCATCATCGTCGGGGAAATCCAAATGTTCTAGGGTGTTTTCGTCAGTCAAACAGCGAGTATACGCTCTTCTTCTCACTCCTCACAGTGTGTTACATGATCCAGTCGAGTTGACTCGATCAAAATCAGGAAGATGATCGGTGATAGTAGGCTGCAGCCATGTCTACTCCTGTCTTCGCTTTAAAGGCATCACTGAGCTTTTCATTATGAATCTCTTGGTATATAGCGTCTTCATTATTACTACTACTGCTTTATACTTACTCGTCTGTATCATGGCAGTCATCATCTTTACTGATTTCATAAAAGTAAAATTAAGTTTTTCTTCCATTCTTGATGTTATTTGTTTATTTATTTTTTTATAGTTGCAACTCTTCTGATCTCTTTTCCGATGGTGATAATTCTCGTCTTCAACTTGCTCTATCCTCTGGTATGGCTGATTGTTTACTGGACAATAGTGGATCAAAGGTTGGTTTAATCTCTTCTTTTCTTTTTACTTCCCCCGTAAACAAACATATATTCCAAGTTGTTATTCATCGAAGACTGACATCAGTTGGAGGAACAAAGGAAACCTGGGAGCACTGGACAGCTGTTTCGTCCGACTAGCATGGGACTCCTCAGCAGTGCGCACCCACGACCCCACCAGCAGGGATCGAACCCGTGACCAGCGCGTTACCATTGAGCTAATCACTGGGTCGGTGGAATCCAATGCTCCATATTTCCAACTTCTGTTAGCTCACGATATAGCGCGAACCGCCACCCAATGTCATCGTTGAGTATTTGTCCTCACGGTCGAAGTTCCAATGACAAGTCGTGACCGGTGGAGTCAAAGCCTGATGGCCGTGAGGACAAATACTCAACGATGACATTGGGTGGCGGTTTGCGCTATATCGTGAGCTAACAGAAGTTGGAAATATGGAGCATTGGATTCTGACCCGGTGGCTCAATGGTAACGCGCTGGTCGCTGAACCTGAAGGTCGCGGGTTCGATCCCTGCTGGTGGGGTCGTGGGTGCGCACTGCTGAGGAGTCCCATGCTAGTCGGACGAAACAGCTGTCCAGTGCTCCCAGGTTTCCTTTGTTCCTCCAACTGATGTCAGTCTTCGATGAATAACAACTTGAAATATTTCCAAATCTCCATAACCCCCTCAAAATTTAATTAAACATATATTCATTTAAAGGTAGTATTTATCACAGACCATTGAAAACCATCTGAGAACTCTAGACAGCCATTGTTTCCTAGTATGAAACTATTCATCAGTGCGCAGTAAGACGAAACAGCTGTCCAGTGCTTTCAGGTTTTCAGTGGTATCCCAAGTAATGTCAGTTTCTTGGCGAATTCATCTCAAATATATATACATATATATTCATTTATTTGATGGATTATGTAATCGTTCGAGCATACTTTTTTTATGATTTCAAATCTTAATGTCATTTACTGATTTGACCGTTTTAACCACACTTCAGTTATTTGGAAAGTTGAAAATCAACTGCAGTGAGTTGGTGACTAATCGAACTTCGTTATGAATATGAAAAACTCTATTGAGTTTTTTTTTAACTTGTCTAATAAGGACTCAGTGTATTACATAACAGTTGGTTGTAAGTATTTGACAACTATTGTCGTCGTAGTCGAGGTTGTTGTAGAATCATCATGTAAAGTAGGTGAGTCAGTTGATAAGGTTTTTGATATGGTTATTTATCGATTCTGTATACCTTGTCACCGTCTACTCTAGACTTGGATTACATTGAAAAAAGGTAAGAAGCATCGTTAACACGTCAACTGGTTATGGTTTTCCCTATATCCAGAATCATTCACATCATTTATCTATGGATTACTGAAAATTCATAAATCTGATGTCTTTCTGAGACCAATAGAGGATTTTACAAATTCTCTAGCATATGCTTTATCTAGATATCTAGGATCATTACTAAAGCCTCTCCAACGCTCTGTTGTCAACCCCATTAAAGACTCGTATGAATTCAAGAATATTGAAATTATCTATCACAGAGAATGAAACAATGGTAAGTTATGATGAATAGCTAGAATGTGATCATATGTTGTCAGACAGATCTCAGATGAACCTCAGCCTCATCACGAAATCATTCAGATTTTTGTTTAAATTCTACACTCTTCACGTTTACAAGAATTATTATATAAACAAACTGATGGAATAGCTATGGATGGTTCTCCGGTCCCCCCGATTATCGGAAACCTACTCATTCTCCATACATTAAACTCACATATGAATTCCTAGACTGTTTAAAAGGAGTGATTTATCGTAAACCAACATATTCAAATCGATATCTTGATTTCAGCTCACCATATTCACTCAGTTCTTAACTTTGACTTGCTCAGGATTTATTCAGAAGAGCCGCAAACCACAACATAAATGAAGCTTTCCGCCTGCAGTCCAAATTTTCATTTCATCTTCAATCATCATTCAGTATGATTACTAGTCTGCTAAACCACAGCTCCTATCTCAGGTAGAATGATAATCATTATGATCCTCCCCCTCTTATTCTAATTCACTTAGATTTCTATTGGGATAAGAAGTCCTGACTAGATATCCAATGTGAGAACGATCAGTCGACAGTAACATATCACAAATTCCCATGGTAGTCGGCAAAAGCCACCTTCATGATTGAAGTGAAATAAAAATCTGGTCAGCTGTTGGATCAAGGATCTCAGTTGGTATAGCATCGGGTCGGGAACCCGGGGGGTTGCTGATTCGAATCCAGCCGTGGTCCAAACTTTCATTCCACCCTCAATCATCACTCAGTATAATTACTAGTCTACCAAACTACGACTGCTATCTCAGATAGTCTAAATGATAAAAATGAATATATCAATACGATAAAATGTGAAACCAGAAAAAACCGATCAGAAAACGACGAGGGGTCTGTTTAGTGGTATCTTTCTATAAGGTCAACATTCAGCTCTAATACACTTGATTCTCAGTTGATTAATATTCTTTTGAAATAGTGGAGAATATTTGTCACTCATGTGGATGGTCTTGGTTGTATTATGTTCTCTGAGCTGGGTTGTTTAATCGTGAAGCTTTCATCGTCCTTCTAGACAGTGACATCATCAGCACTAACTTCAGTATGAAGTAGTGAACTGTCAATATCTCTCCGTGAGTGTTTTAGTAGCTTGCCTTGACGAAGCGGTCTATGATTGGTTGTTTCCTTCAATTGTTGTGTCATTGACTGACTGCATAGATTTGCCTGTGCCTCTGCTTCATCTCTCACCTTTCTGTCATTGTACATTTTTATCACTGGTTGATTGGTAGGGTCTATGTCTATACATCTACTGGTTGCTGACTGACTAACCTGAATGCCAAGCTTCTAGGAATTCTCTGATGATATACTTTGTGTTTCCTCTCTCTGTCCAACATTTCTACATTGTCGAAATTGAATTCATATCCATAATTGTCATCCACGTGCATTGAATGATGAGTGATGAAATGTCGTGGCGTTTAATAGCTAATTAGTATTCATGTAGACGAAAGTGAAGGTGCGAGACCACTTTGTCCAATGTGTAATGTTGACTACAGTTATTCTGGTTGATTTTGTAAATGATATTCAGTTTGTCCTCTTTGGTTGTTGCACCCTTTGGTCTGCATGATAGTGTTTGCAGGGAATTTGTTAGTTTATGAGTGGCCACACCAATTCCACGAAGTGGTCTCAGTAGTCTTGTCGTGATTTCTGATATGTTATTTATGTATGATAGGATGATCCGTTTATTGATTTCTGTCTATGACTTTGTAGTTGATGTTGTACGAGTTAGGCATCTTGTGATAAAGTTTCGTGAGTAGCCGTTCTTCTTTAGGATGGACATGAAGTAATTTTCTTCATTTCTCCGTGAAGATGCCTATCCCATGCATCATCAACTACAAAGTTATTGACAGAAATCAATAAACGGATCATCCTATCATACATAAAGAATATATCAGAAATCACTACAAGATTACTGAGACCATTTGGAATAAGTCATAGATCAACAAATTCCCTCCAATAAATGTAGTCAACACTAAATTCAAAAAAATGGTCACCCATCTTCTCCTTCGTCTACATGAACACCAATTAGCTATTAAACATCACACACGACATTTCATCACTCATCATTCAATGCACGTGGATAACAACTATGGACGTATATTCAATTTCGACAATGTAGAAATGTTGAACAGAGAGAGGAAACACAAAGAATATCATCAGAGAATTCCTAGAAGCTTGGCATTCAGGTTAGTCGGTCAGCAATCAATAGATGTATAAACATAGAACCAATCTATCAACCAATAAGAAAGATGGTGAATGACAGAAAGGTGAGAGGTGAAGCAGACGAACAGCCAACAGGAAAATCTATGTAGTCAGTCAATGACACAACAATTAAAGGAAACAACCAATCATAGACCACTGGGTGAGAATCCAATGGTCCATATTTCCAATTTCTGTTAGCTCACGATATATACATATATATATATATATATTTCGAAATCTCCACCACCCTCTCAAAAATCCAATTGAACTGGTGCTTATTGGTGATTAGCTTAGAGAAGTATTCGCGAAGTTCCAATGAGAAGTCGTGACTGGTGGGGCAAAGCCTGATAGTCATGAGGACAGTTACTCAACGATGACATTGGGTGGTGGCTGCGCTATATCGTGAGCTAACAGAAGTTGGAAATATGGAGCATTGGATCCTGACCAAGTGACTAGCTCAATGGTAACGTGCTGGCCGCGGAACCTGAAGGTCGCGGGTCCGATCTCTGGTGGTGCGGGGTTGTGGGTGCGCACTGCTGAGGAGTCCCATACTGATCGGACGAGACAGCTGTCCAGTGCTTCCAGGCTTCTTTTGTTCCTCCTACTGATGTCAGTCTACGATGGATACTGTATTGTAGCGATAGATAACACTGATAGTCTGTAGTCAATTGAGAAACAATACATTGGTAGATTAGAACAGAAAAACTAATTAATCAAGAATAAAGGTGACAGACAAACGGTAAAAAAGTAACATATAAGATGTAATAAATTCCAACGACTACCCTAAGATCATCATTCAACAGACTCAGAAATCTGAGCAGAGGGGCCTAAGAGAACATTTAAATGATGATTCTTGGATTAGCACAATAGTTCTACCATTTCTCCAAAGTACAATTGAAGAGCTATAAAGAATCCGAAGGAAGCACTGAATTAGAGCCGTTTACAAGACAACCAACATACTTAGGAATGCTCTAGTCCACCTAAATGATAAAATTCTTTTTATCTTCCCATAGAATTGTGTCTACACAGATTAGACTGTGTCAATTGTAATGCCTATTATAATGGGAAATGATTCCATGAGATCCTCGTCTGAGATAAAGAACATGCAAGTTTTGAACATAAACCGGCCACCAAATAATCCTATAGAACTGGGGAATTTACCAATCAAGTCAACAACACCGTTTATGCCATCATCTATCAGTTAAAAAAA